CGGATACTTAGGTAAGGGGGGTTTTGTGGAATATGGCAGTATATCTAGTCATGAGTATCCTTAGGAAGCATGTGGAGGAACATCGGTAATTGCGCATGCTTCAGAAATGCCTGCTTGAAGGTTCAGAAGTAGTTGGAACTAGGCTTATCGACAAATGTTTAGGGTTTAGGGTTCAAGGTTTGCTCCCCTGGACATCTCTAATGTCCAATTGGAAAATGCCCTTTGTGTTTTTGGAGGGCCGATGCCACCTTCCTCGCGATTTACAAGCACACGACTGCTTTCTTCCGGGAAACACTACGTAGATCGTAGACACCACATGTGTCAGGGCATAACCGGCATAACGTTTGACCCTACACCCAGTCTCCAAACTTGGTTGCTGACACCGGGCGTTGATTGCACACGCACACGCGCACACCTCAAGAATCTTAAGTCCCTTCTTCCCAGCCGCCCCGCTTGCACTGCTCAGGAGGATGAAGAATCTTGAGTCAGCATGCTTGCTTTCTTCCTCCCAAGAGCGGTGGAGTTCTGCAATAGACCCTAAACCCTCAACCGTGTAACATGAAACTAAACTCTACGACTCTACATCCCTGAAACCGGACGCCCAAAACCCGGATCCTGAACGGAAAAGACTGACCCGACACCAAACTCTAAAGCACCTCAAAGGAAAAGTAGCCAAACCCGCCCAAACCACAACAAATACATTGAAGAAGATAGCCCAAAAGAGAACGAAACGCACCAAACCCTAAACCCTAAACCNNNNCCCAAAGCCCTAAACCCAAAACCCCCAAAACAGTAAAACCCCCAAAGCCCTAAACCCAAAGCCACCCAAAAAACCCTCCGAGACCCCCAAACCCCCAAAACCCTAAACCCAAAGCCACCAAAAAACCCTCCAAAACCCCCAAACATTTCTAGGATGGGAGCTGCCGCATCCTCCCTGTCCAAGCAGGCCGCTGAGGCCACAGGGAGCAGCAGAGGAGGGCTTTCCTGGGATGTAGGATTTAGGGATAGGGTTTAGGATATAGGATGTAGGGTTTAGGGTTTAGGATACAGAATTTTGGGTTTAGGAATATGGAGACCTTAGTAGAATAAGGCTTTGGGGGACCTAGAAGACAGTTGTACAGGGACAGATGAGGGCTTTTGGCTGTAGGGTGTGGGGTTGTTGGGTGGGTGTTGTTGTCTTTTTGGGCGCTTCAAAAACGGGGTTTTCTAGGGCCCTGGAAGGGTTTTACGTGGGGGTTCGAAAAGGTTCGTAGCCGGGTTGGGGGTCGGCGTTTTGTTGCTTGGGGTTTCGGGGCATGGGAATTTGGATTTGGGGTTTGGGGTGTAGGGTTTAGGGTGGAGTTTAGTGCTTTGGGGATTTGTACAACAGAGGAGCTGAGTCAGGGTGTTGTAGGGTTGTGTTTGGGGTTTATATACAGGTTCTGTAGGGGTCTTAGTAGGTGTTGGGCTTTTTAGTTTTCGGGTTTATGATCCCAGTGTTCGGGGCTGTAAAGTTGCGGGGTTTTGTGTTGGGCCGCCTGCTGCTCCTTCCTGAAGCCATGCAGAATTAAGAGGCAGAGCTCAATGCCAAACCAACGACTCAGCACCACATCTCCGGAACTCTCGAAGGCAGAAAGCACAAATAGCAGCAATTCAGGAAAGGAGCAGAAAGCGTCCCATAGACGCCAACGCCTAACCCCAAACTCCTGAACTTTCAACCCCAAAACCCGGACAAACAGTCACTAAACCCTAAACCCTAGACCCCTCGTTCCCAATTGAACCTTAAAGTCCTAAAGCCCTAAAGCCCTAAGCCCCTCAACCCCTAACTAAGCCCCTAAACCCCCAATCTCCTCTCCCCTAAACCCCCAATCTCCTAAACCCCCAAACCCCCTAAACCCCAAAACCCTAAACCCCCAAAGCTCAAGGCTTGGGCCGCCCCCCTACAATGGGGGGGGCGGCGCTTAAGCTGGCGCAAGTCGAGCGGGGTCGCCCGGTACCGGAACAGGTTCTCCTCGGGACTAGTACTGGTCCCAAGAAGGAAAAGACCCTAAACCGCAAGATGGAAATCCTGCCCAGAAAAGGGGCCCTCAAAGACCCCTGGGAGCATCCAGCGAGCAGATTCCAAGGACCTGGGGGGGCTGCAGCCTGGTGGTAGGCCCCTGTCCCTGTTGCCCTGCCCTGCCCTGCCCTGCCCTGCCCTGCCCTGCCCTGCGCTGCCCTGCCCTGCCCTGCCCTGCCATGCCCTGCCCTGCCCTGCCCTGCCCTGCCCTGCCCGCCCTGCCCTGCCCGCCCTGCCCTGCGCTG